GGATATATTTTTGCAAATATATATACCAAGAAGATGTGTAAAGAAAATGCATATCCACCATACATTGACCATAATTTTATACAGTGCCAATGACGTCTGGGCTTGTGGACATTTGCAGAGGCAGTTTGAGAAGGATTTGAGAGGAAATAGCCAAAAGTCAGAAATTGGGTGCATGCTGCCATTTTTATTAGAGGTATAACAATACACGAGTGCTACATAATATACAATATAAGGAGGTGGGCGATGAAAAAGATGACAGTAATACTACATAGATAGAGTCAGCTGTTATTGCGAGAGCTGTTCTAATGCTGAGTGAAAACTTATGTGGCTTAGAGAGTGAGCTGTTGAGACAAGAGCCTCATAGAAAGGAGAACTCATCTAAAAATAGATGCATGAGTGATCACCTCAATCCTGCCCTCTTACAACCTGGAAGGTTCGTCTCCAATCTTTTCTTGACTCTTCTCGAGCACATGAATAATGAGTATAGATTTGATCGTCTGCTCTATCTGGGTGTGAGCGAGTCCCACCAAGCCCAGGTCAATATTCTTGAAGCCCTGATGAGGAACTTTCAACTTGATCGAGACATAGACTTGTGTTGCATTGCGGAGCAGTGCCCCTTTAACTACACCGGGGCTGATTTCTATGCTCTTTGCTCGGATGCAATGCTCAATGCAATGTTACACAAAGTGGACTTTTTGGAGTCCAAGATAGGTAGGTCAATGCAGAAGTTTTTTGCACTTTTATTATTGACATACTTCTCTCAGCTGACATGAACAAAGTACCAGAAAGTTTGGGTCAACATCCCTATCCAATGACCCCACAATATTTTCTGTCTGAACTTGCATCACCTGATGACTTACTGGTGGCTGTCTCACAAGTAGACTTTGATAATGCCCTAGTCACTCTAGTTCCAAGTGTTACTCAGGCTGAAATGGAACACCACACTTGTGTCCAGCATTGCTTTTCTCAAGGTGCAAATATTTAACTAGGCTACCCTGATCAATGTAGTACATCAATATCATGTTGGTTTAGAATATACAGACAGACTTGCAAGTTGCGGACAAGAAATGGCATGAGCTCCAGGGTCCTGCAAAAAGTTGCCATGTTTGTGGCTGCATAGTCATTTCACAGCCACCTAGTCTCCATTACTATCACATGCTTTAGCGGCAGGCGAGCCCGCCTGGTCCCCAACTCTTTTTTTTCTTACATTGCAGCCACCCCTACTCCCTCTTCCTCCTTGCCTTCAATATAAGCAATGCACGACACCTCTGCGCACATCCCGAACCTTACATGGATCCCCTCAAGTCGGAACCACTCCCAACACCTCCTCAGCCAACTCACACTCCAATCTTGTGCATCCATCTGCATTGCCTGCACCTTTACCTCATTCTGCTATCCTGTCACCTAGCGTCACAGCACGGTTCCCATGTTTCTTATAAGTATATGTAAATATATAATAGTCCTCCAACTTGAATGATTTTGATCTACAATGTTCATTGCCCAAGTCATAGTCCTCCAACTTCAATGGTTGATCTTGTTCATTGTCTAAGACATAGTCATTGAGCGATGATGTTCATTGTCCAAGTCAAAGCCCTCCAACTTGACCAGTTCTGTTGATCTAAAATGTTCATTGCTCAAGTCATAGTCCTCCAACTTGAACAGTTTGGATTAACCATGTTCATTGCTGAACATGGTTTTGATCTATGATGTTCATTCCCCCAATCATAGTCCTCCCATGCAAAGGGGTTTTTTCTTATCCATAATATTCAAGTGCTATAAGAAAAAAATGGACAGTCAGACTGTTGCAGCCTTCATGGAAGCCATGCTAATGGTCTATGTATATCCTACAAACAGTCAAGGAAACACAGCTCCAGATGGTGGCTAAAGCCTTAAAAATAGTAGAAACATCATCTGGAATATATGTCCCACATTACAGAAAATCACAAGTTTTTTTTTAGAAACTGGGACCCCAGACACCCCTATTGGCTGAAGAAATATATCCTTGGTCAACCCCAGCTGCAAAATATATCCTAAGTCCATCCCAGACCAGAAATATATTTCTACAGTGTGACAGTCACAATTCAGGGTCCAGGCATAAGAAATATATTTGGTGTCCATCTCAGTGAAGAAATATATTTTGGGGTGTGTGACACACTAGAAATATATTTGGTGTGACATTGGTCATCAAAATATATTTACGTAAAAGTGGAGATATACAAGCCCCAGAATATATACAATATAGATATACACCCTGACATTTAGTCCCGTAGTATTCATGGAGTTTGCAAGACTAATAGTCAGTTGTTAGTGGGTGACTGAAGTGCCGGTGACCTTGCTATTGTTCAGAGGAACTTGTCAGAACTCTTCACGTGTGCAGAGACTCCATCCCTGAGCAGGGGCATTCCTCGTCTCAGAAAGTCAACAAATATCATTCTTCTATTATCTTTGGACTGGGGAAGAGATATGATGTCCACGTTTGATTTTTTGGACTTGGTTGACTTCTTGGCTTCTATGAGTTTTATTTCAGATCGCGCCTGGGTAAATCTGAGTTGTGCCTTCTCGATAGCCTTGGTATCAATCTGGCTCTCGGAAAACCAATCCATAACAACTCCATGCAGAAAGTCCAACTTCTCTGAGAGCCAGGAATGTGGGGTTCCTAGTGGATGCTGTTTCAAACGAAGTTCAAATTCTGACCATATTGGATGCTTTTCAGTATGATTATTGTATCCTTCATTGTTGCCCTCCAACGCGAGAAGTGGGCTTTGAAATGCAGTCCAAACAGGCTCCAGCAAAAAAATGGAGTGTCGGTCAATAGCCTTCCTAATGGTAGCAATGAACATCCACCGAGCAATTGCTTTTGGGGTCACCGGAAATTGCAGCCATGCACGAATTATATCCACAGCTGCAGTCGCTAGTTGCTCCCTTTGAATGTTCACATCATACGTCATGTGTCTGACTTTGTGATCATATGTTACAGCCTCTTCTAGATGAGGCAGGTAGTTGTGGGAAGAGAAGGGTATGACCTTGCCATGGTGTGTATCGCTGGAGTAGAATCCATTGAGATCTTTGACCAGCCTATGCACCCAAGTGGGTTCATAGCTGGCTGGCATAGAAATTAAATTCACCGAAGGCTCAGTATCAATTGCCTGTTGGACTATGGTCTGAACCCAAGTGTATGGTGCTGAAACGCCTGTCATATAAGTTATGAGTCCTTACAAGTTTACGAGTAAGACTCATTCTTTATCAACTGAGGACTTAGGCAAAATTTTCATTCATTGATTCATTCATTCATTTACCTTTCATCACCGCGGGAACCTTTTCCCTTAAACAGAAAAGCAGCCATAAAATCAGAAAAAATGGTAAAAGAAATCAGCAAAAAATATGTAAAAAATCAGAATATTGTTTAGTAAGGTGGGGAGGCTGTGTTCAGGGTTCAGGGTCAATATCTAAATATAGAAACCACCTAAAAGTTGCCAGAAAATCAGAAAAAAATACCCAAAAATTAAGAGTGATCTTCTCTGTTGCCATGGTGTTGAAGGGGCTGTGTCCAGTATTCAGGGTCCATATCCAAATATGGAAATCAAGACAACTATGTAAAAATATTGTCATATTATGCAATGTGACTATATCTTGAGACCAGCTTTCTTGCTCTTTGAGATATTGGTCAAAAATGCATGACAATTTTCAAAAAGTGTCCAATTTTTTCAGTATTTTGTGTTTTTCTCAATGAGGAATGGTCTGCATGACATTATTTATATATATCTATAAAGGTAAGGAAAGGGGCTACAATTGTTGTTTATGGAGCTAAGTGAGAGGCTGTGTTTCTGATACCGTGGGAATTTTAACCAAAAAAGGAAATTCATCACAAATATATAGAGCATGCTATTATAGGTCACAAAATATAACTAACCATCCTCTTTCCTGAGATATATGCAAACAGGACTGTGGGAATATTTTACCATAAACAGAAAAATAGTTATAAAATTGGGAAAATTTGCTATAAAATGAATAAAATAAAAATAAAAATAAAAATAGCACACATTGTTGCTATGATATTGATGGCTAGGCTCAGAGCTCAGGGTCTATTTGTAAATATAGAACAAAACTCAGAAAATTATAAAGTGATTACATGACCAATTTCCTAAAATTAAATTTAGAGTCCATAGAAAGGACTCATACATGCCATGCAAAGCACTGGCCCACACCCACAAGTTCTTTATCAACTGAGGACTTGGGCAAATTTTTCATTCATTGATTCATTCATTCATTTACCTTTCATCACCACGGGAACCTTTTCTCTTAAACAGAAAAGCAGCCATAAAATCTGGAAAAATGACATATAAATTGGCAAAAAATGTGTAGAAAATCAGAACATTGCTTATCAAGTTGGAGAGGCTGTGTCCAGGGTTCAGGGACCATATCCAAATATAGAAAGCTGTCTGAAAAATAGAAACAGATAGGTGAGAAGCAGTAAAAAATAAGCGAAAAATAAGTATGGTATTCACCATTGCCATGATCATGAAGGGGCTGTGTTCAGGGTTCAGGGTCCATGTTTAAAAATAGAACAAAGCTAGAAAGATTGTGTAAAATGATTATAAAGTAAGCCAAAAAAGGGAAGAAAAATAGGAATGATATTTGCTGTTGTCATGATGTTGAAGAGGTTGTGTTCAGGGTCCATATCTAAATATAGGCAGAGCAAAAAAATCAACTGATAGAAAATAGCTAGAAAATGAGGAAAAAATGAAGAAACTTGTAGACACTAATGTCTTTATCATTTTCTAGCTATATTTGGGCAGATTCCCATATTTGGAAGTGTATCCTGGACCCTGAATACAGCCTCTCCAAGAGTTTAGCAACATTAAATATCAGAAATATGACTATATCATCTGACTAGTCTTCTTTCTTATGCAGATATTGGTCAAAATACATGACTATTTTCAAAAAGTGTCCAATTTTTTTTAGTATTTTGTGTTTTTCTCAATAAGGAAAGATCTGTGTGACATCATTTATATATATTTGTAAAGCTAAGCAAAGGGGCTACAATTATTGTTAATAAAGCTAAGTGAGAGGCTGTGTTTCTGGTACTGTGGGAAATTTGACCCAAAAAGGAAATTAGTTACAATTTTATAGAGCATGCTGTTATATTTCTCAATGTGGTCACAAAATGTGACTAGCTATTTTCTTTCCTGAGATATATGCAAAGACACCTATTTATTCATATTTTTCTCAATAAGAAAATCATCTGGTCAGATGATTCCAGTACATTTAGAAATGTATAACAAGGGGCTATAATTCATGTACTGTGGGAAAAAGTTCCCAAATAAGGAATGTAGACATGCCCTAAACTTCCTGGGTACTTCAAAGCTTCTGGTAAACAATAGTAAACTTTCCCTTTTGAACTTGAACTACCATCATCTTGCTTTGCTGGCACCTTGTTTACTCCATTCTGAGTCAACCACTCATGCTACTGCTACAATTCTTTTTGCTATGGCTTCTAGGCCTTCTCTGCTACACTTCTATGCCCTCTGTGTTCTCTTCCAAGACCTGGAACATGCTTAGATCTGGAAATACTGGTGTTAACTCTGAACTTTGTCATTTTTGGCCATGTAAGCCTATTTCTATATTTCTGTAGGTACTCTGCTAATCTTTCTACATTCTAGATCAACAAACTCCCTGTTCTCTGGCTATTCTGAGCCCAGAAGGTATGTAACTTGCTCTTTTTAGTGCATATTCTCAAATTTAATATATTTAACCCAGAAAACACATCATTGGCTTAAATCCTATGGATTTCTATGCTATCTCTTCCTTAAACTATGGTAAGACCTTAGCTTGATCATATGCAACTTAGGACTAAGCAATCTTTTAGATCTTTTACACTGGGATCAAGGGAGTTTTGGCAACTACCTTGATTCCAGTGAGGTTGATTACAACCCTAACCCTTGGGCACCCTCTATAGTGATTGATCTCAATCTGAGCCCTTTGGCAGCCAACCATTTGGTTGAGCCTCTTCCATTCAACATGGTTGAGAGAAAAATACATAAATTATATACTCATCCATTTGTGGTTGAGAGGCAAGGCCTTTTGGCACTCTATACTCTTCCATTTATGGTTGAGAGGCATGGCCTTTTGGCACTCAATACTCTTCCATTTATGGTTGAGAGGCACAATAAATATGCTCTTCCATTTATGGTTGAGAGAAAAAGGCAAAATACATATGCTCTTCCATTTATGGTTGAGGGAACAGATATAGCCTACCCAAATATGAGATATGATGATATATATGAGCACACATCAGGGGTATTGCCCTTATACTGGAATGCACAAAGCTCATGGTCAGAAACTTTGATTTTGAAAAATGATGGCTTTTCTACTTGTGTTGAACTTAGCCCTGAGCTATGTAAAAGTGACTACACATTTTCTGAATATTTAGATTTAAAACTTTATAAGTTGTGGTTGCATCTAAGATCTTCTCCACTCTTGGAATTATATGTCAGATCTTTTTTGACTCTTCTCAGATTATTTACCATTATTTCTCAAAGAGATCTGGTTGCAGTAAAATGCCAGGAACTTGATTTGAAATTGAAAAGAAATATATTGAGATCTCATGACTTTGCTACTCTTATGAACAGAATTGGTGGATGCTCTACTATTTTAAACTTTGCAAATTACATTGTGTATTTGATAATATTCCACCATGTCTCAGCTTTGCAGTATTTCAAGTTCTCAACAAAAATCACAAGAAATTTGTGTATCATGATACTTGCTTTATCTGTAGTATTCTTTTTGGAGCTGGACCTTCCAGGGTTTAAACCAACACAAAGTTTCAATCCAGATAATGACTTGGTGACTAAAACTGAAATATTGGGGGGTGGCTCTGCAGGTATATTTTCAGCTGAGAAGCTTTCTTCATTTGCTATAAATGAGGTGAATCCAGGAGGGATATATAAATATTCAGACTATGTATCTGAATCTGAAGTCCATACATTGAAGAGTATCAAGAGTCCAACTTTACTTTGTAAGATGCCCCTTACAGAGCTCATTTCCCACTTGAGCATTCCTAACTTAAAATTTATTGCTCAATGCCATAACATCAAAATTCATTCCAAGTCAAAAAGCTTAGAAATTCAGAGCATTATTGAAAGTCACAAGTGTAAATCATGTAAAGAATATGTAGAAATATTTGAATTTATAGATGAGAAAAACAAGACAGAAAAAAAGAAAGCTATTAATTTAAACAAGTCAAAAAAGTACCAAGAAAAAAGTCCAGAGAAATATAAGGCCAGCAACTTGGAGGCAGTTAAAAAACATCAGGAGAAAAGCCCAGAGAAATATAAGGCCAGCAACTTGGAAGCAGTCAAAAAACATCAAGAGAAAAGCCCAGAGAAATATAAGGCCAACCATTTGGATGCAGTTAAAAAACATCAAGAGAAAAGCCCAGGGAAATACAAGGCCAGTAATTTGGAAGCAGCCAAAAAACACCAAGAAAAAAATCAAGAAAAATATAAAGTTTTGAACTTGGAAGCAGTAAA